TAACAATGGGGAGAAAATGATATCTCTCTAATATAAATACTATTTAACCTCCTGAATCTCAGACTAGATTTTTTGAGATGCCATTTGGAAAGATGTAAAGTGGTACTGAGCGTACCGTATTGTTAAGTTTAGGTTGGTCACTCCAGATCACGAGGGATTCTTTAATCAGAAGGCGATATGCATTATCGTCCTTCAAAAGAATTTTACAGTCGTCCAAATTGATTGTATGACTAGTGTCTTGAATGTGTCGAAAGAGAGCAGTTTTGTTTTGCTTAGTAGTAAAATCAGATATATTCTTTTCAAGGAGTGCAGAAGAGATTTTGGATTTCTCCGCTATACGAGCAGGCGGTCTTAAGTTTGTGTGATTAGTATGAGATGTAGCCTTTATTCTTGATCTAACCTTTTTTATCGGTCTTGCGCAATCTTGTGTATAAACTTCGTCCAAAGACAAGGATCTATGACTGGACGATTCTGTAAAACTTTTAGGTGCACCATGCTCAACTAAACGCCGACATGTTTGCCTTGCTGTTTTTCCAGCATATGTACTGTCACAATCATTACATTGTACCCCATAAACTACTCCTGACTGTAGCAATTTTGAAATTGCGTCTTTATTTTGAAAAAATGTGCCTACCGGTTTAGGTGGTATAAGCACAACGGTCAAATCAAGTCGAGCATGCAGTACCAATAATTTTTTAGGTCCAGAAAAGAGATAGATCCCTCATTTCCGTTTTCATGTGTAAATTTTATGTCTGGATGAACAGAATTCAAAATTTTTATAATTTTATCAACTGATGAATCACTTTTCAAAAGAACAAAGGTGTCATCGACATTGCGAATCCAAACGAGAACACCTTTTTGTAAGTCTGGAAAGATAAAATTTTCCAAATGCGACAAAAAAATATCTGCTAAAATAGGTGCCAACGGTGAACCCATTGCAACACCATTTATTTGCCTATACAGTTGTCCGTTAAACGAAAAATGAGTGCCAGAAGTTGCTGTTCCAAGAAGAGGTTCCATGTCTTTTCTGTCTTGACAAGTTCTGCATAACGCGGATTTCTTACTACATTTTATTTTACACTTGTCATTAACTGCATATAGTCTGTCTAAAATTAGTTGTATTGTGTATTCTAACGGTACTTTTGTAAATAAGTTCGTCATGTTAAAGGAAATCATTTTTGAATTTACCATGTCTGAAGAAAGTGATGAAATTTTGTCAACAAAATGAAAAAAGTCTTTTGTGGCAAAAGGGCTGTCTTGTAAGTACCACAGACGGTTCGCAAGAACCTTTCCGAGTCCGTAATTATATCTTTTTTGTAGTAGATAAGATCGGTCTGAAAGGTACCCCATCGTTTTTTGGGAGACCGTAAAGACGCCTTGGACGAGGCTTTGTAGGACGACAACGAAGATATTCGTTTACTCAAAATAAAACCTCGCTCACGTAGACGCCGCAAAATTTGTGTTAGTTGATCCTCTTTAAATAGAGTTAGATCAGCATCTATCTTAATAAATGTGGAAGTGTCGGTCAATATTCAATATTCATTTCACAGAGATATTCTGAACTGTTCGGAATAATAATACTTCTGCCCTTATCGGATCTGGTAATGACAATAGATTTATCTTTAGATAAACTACGAAGACACTGTTGAAAAATTAGTTTTTTTCTTAAAAGCGGTTTTAGTTCACGTTTAGCATGCGTCTGAAACACATTTACATAGGATCGTTAACGCCTAATAGTCTAGAGTAGAAATACTCCATATTTGAAATCAATTGTATCTGATCAATATTCGCAAATGGATAAGCATGATGTAAACCGTGCATAAAGCTGTTCCATAAACAGACTGCTTGTTGGATGTTAACAGAGAGACAAAGTCTTTTGTCAAGTGATAGGCTATCACGAGTGATGGATATGAGCAAAAAAGAATAAAAGAGCTAATTTTGTATTTCTAGATATATTTCTGAAGTTCTACATGTAAACTGTTGATTGACCGTCACACAACCTGAGAATCGACGTTGAAAACACTTGTAATATCTAGAAATACAAAATTAGCTCTTGTATTCTTTGTTGTTTTTTCTGTTGTAATCATATTATTCTCGTCATCGTCTTCATCGCCGTCACCACCATTTTCATCATAATCATCATCATCACTTTTCTCATCATCATCATCACCACTATTCTCATCATCGTCATTATCATCATTGATTTCAGTTGATGTTCTTTCATCCGCGTCAAAATCATAATCGGGTTTGAGTTTGGAACAATCTTTCATTTTACTTGTGGTTTTCAAATAGTTCTTAACAAGGGTACTTAAATCATTCAGCTCATACGCATGATTTTGTTCGAATAATGCTGCCATGTTTAAACTACCAATATATTTTTGTACTTGTTTATACGCTTTTAGAATAATTTCTTCGATGTGCAAATCATCAATATTCATCATATTTTGAACTGGTAATAAATCATCTTTCTTATGTTTATGATGAACGGGAAATACTAAATGATTTTATTGATTGTTCGATTGTTCGATACATTTAATTTGTTGCAAGACCGAGAGTTTCTCAGCTCGTCGAAGGAAATCATCTATTGTGAAGTTTACTCTTGTTGAATAGCAACCACTCAATGCACGTGTATTTCTACAAATCGATTCACACGCTTGTGAATTAAATAGAAAAATATTCAATGCATGTGCCGGTAATTGTTGTTGTTGAACCAGTAGAATTAAATATAGTAAATTATGTGCATTGATTTTGACTGACCAATATGCTGGCATAGTAATAAAATATTTATCGTTATTCTTATTTGTTGTTTTTGCTTTATTAATAAATGATTTGTATTTGATCCACGTTGACCAAAATCTGCAGACGAAAACAACCACCCAAGAATAGTATAAGCGATCATCAATGGGTGTAGATTTGTCAATATAGGCCATTATAATATATTTTAATAACTGAAGATACAAATAAGTTGCTTGTGTATCGGTATTATCATGCAAGATTTGTAATACGTCTTCGGATGTTATTTTTGAACATGACTGAAAATTCTGACGATCTCTAGGATTTAAATCACTTATTGTTAGTCCATGATCAATCTTCGATAACCTGTCATCATCAATAATATCGGCTAGGTGTTGCAGATTGACTGTTTGTTGACCAATAATCATTTGAGCTGTTTTTGACAACATTCTATTTCGCCATTTTGTAGCTAAATGAATCGGATCTTGTATGAACAACAAAAGTTGTCTATTTCGTAAGAAAAACCATGTCCACGTTGGAAATATTTTAATAACGAATGCATCTGGATTTTCAAATAATCGACTGTTGGGAACATCAGCAAAAAAACCCATTGCCAAACGCATAGCTCGTAAATATTTGCTGTCGCAATCTCAATGAGAAAAATATTTTGTTTTCAATGACTGAAAACATGGTAGACAATGAGAATGTGAACATACCAATTGAAAATCCAATCATTCGAATACCTTTCTGATTACATTCTTCATAAATATACGACCATCTTCGAATTATATCAACACTTGTATATCGGCTGTTAACACCGTATGCAGATATAAGAAATGAAGAGGATTGATTCATGAATTGTACTACCGGTTGAAACATATGAACGTTTAACAACGGTGCCTTTTCGACTGTACTAAACCAAGTTTTCAAACGTTCTAATGACTCCGTTTGAAAATGTTTTACAGTTGGTATACCATTAGTCAAAGGTGTACAAAATTCAATGAATGTATTTGTATCTTTATCATATTTAATTTGTCTGATTACACCAGTGCAATCTTCAGAACCAAAGCCATACTTTGTATTTATTGAATATAAATGTTGTTGTAATGAATCAAATCTAAACTCTCCTTCAGTTAACTTTAAATCGGCATTAGAGATATAGGTTTGCAGCATTATTAAATTAGGCAATGCACCAGATAAATTCATTCTTACAAATTCGTATGTAATTCTACCACCCAACGCATAAAGAGCCATGGCAAATCGTTGCACAGAATCACTATACCTGTTTTGATCTTGATAAATTACTTGTAATGTTGTTGATAAATTCTTGTAGAAATGATTGTTTGTGATCGTTGTCTTTATTATCGTTATGTTCATACCATGTCACTAATGATTTTAGCAATGAATATTTTTTGACTAAATTATATAACATTTGTTGATAGGTATTGTCATTGTTGTTATCATCATCATCATCCTTATTTTCTATGGACATTTGTTGTTGTTTTGTTTTTAATA